TAGCTAGACTCCCAGAACAAGCTAAGCTATGGCCCAGCTATAAAGGAAACAGACGTGTAGCACGGAGCACGTTTATTCGATAAGTATATTAATAGCAAAGTGTTGAGTTTGGCAGAGCGATTAGTTATCAGATAACTCTAGCATAATTCGTGTGGAAATTAATAGCTAAAATATTTCTGAGTAGGGTTCTATAGCAAGATTTCTATTTGAACATTGATGAAGAGTCTCACACACTCAAGCTTATGCTTCACTGCTCCGTTTCAACACTTCAGTGGGATATGAACAAAATTGAGGACTAACCGTTGTGTTAGACGGTTAAGATTAAGTATTAATTTATATTAATGGTTTATAATTAGATTATTTGAATTACTCTCTGGTAATTTGGATAATACTCTAACATAATACAAGTGGTGTTATATTTAATTTACATTTTAACAATCAGTCAGCCTGATTATTTGATATCATGAAGCTAAATAGCTATTGACAATTCAGATGACAGAGAATTTTTTTTAGAATTTCATTACTTCATTATAAATTCTTATTAGATTGTTATCTTCTACGTAGTCAAGTATTCGTCTTCTTCCAGGTTTTAATATTTTATCAAGATGCTATTTTTTGAATTTTAGGTTAAAAATGACTCAGATCCTGTATTATTATTTTGCCGTTCAAGAAATCATTTTGCTGAAATTTTAAATTTCACGAATCATTATTATGAGTTCGATCTACGTGCACATAGGTTTGTAATAGCCAAACACATCGGCGTATGAGATAAAATGATGACAAATAACTTCATGACGGTGATTAAGTGCAATTATTCAAGTGCTCACAATTACTCAGTCCAATACTGAGTAATAAGGCAAAAAATTATTGAAGATTGCATAATGTCAAAGTTGCATTTCGGTCTTATGCAAGAAATGTCATTTTTGAAATGTCGATTTTCCACGTTTGCGCCTATCCATTTTATTAAAAGTCATGTGAAGTACACAACACTAACATGGATGAAATAGAGGATTTCATGCGAGCTAGAACATTCTAGACCGGGGGGTGTGCTATTGGTCTCAAGACCATCAAATGTGGCTGTTGATCCCTCTACTGAACAAGTGTGGTCGTAAGCGTTGAAACCTCCTAATCAACAAACGATTGGAAGTCGTTGCACTTTAACGCCGTATGTTAGTGCTCCATAAGATACGCTACACGTCGAGCACACACTTGCTCTTTGTCTTGGAAACCGTTGAGGTAGCTTAGCCATCATTTTGAGGAGTAAATTTACACCTTGGACTTCGCCTTAAAGATTACTGAGGTTTCCGTCAAGACTTATATGGGCGACATTCACAGCAGATTTCGAAGTTAATTCCTTCGTGGATGGTCTCAAAAGTGCTTCCTCTGGTACTTTCTCTCAGAAGTAGTTCTATTACGTGTGGAACACGTCATCGCATGCGCGTACACATAGGCTTGAGGTGCGGCGTAAAACCTCACGTATGGATTGAGGACAAGAGCACGCAGCCAATAGCAGCTCAATGGCCCTCACTTGTTTTACCAAATCCGCCATGTTGTATGACTGAGTTCCTTCCTGTAAACACTTCTTGCGTGGTTTATCTACTAAATAAACGTGCTCCGTGCTACACGTCTGTTTCCTTCATAGGCGTGCTCCGTGCTACACGTCTGTTTCCTTTGGTTTAGCTGGTTCTGGGAGTCTAGCTAGATGTAGGAGGATCTCCCATTGAGATTTCTGAGTCAGTCAGGCTTTACTAGCGTAGCCAGAGATTTCTGAGTTAGTCAGGCTTTACTAGAGTAGCAATATTTCTGAGTCAGTCAGGCTTTACTAGCGTAGCAATCCGTGGAGCTATAGCTTAGCTGTTCTGGGAGTCTAGCTAGGTGTTGGAGAATCTGCCATAGAGATTTCGGTCAGGCTTTACTAGCGTAGCAATCCGCTACAATGCAATCCGGTCAGGCTTTACTAAGGTAGCAATCCGTTACAATTCTCAACCGGTCTGGCTTTACTAAGGTAGCAATCCGCTACAAGTCTTTAACCAAGGCTTTACGAAGGTAGCAATCCGCTACATGTTCGAGACTTAGGGAGCAATCCGCTACAAGTCTACAAAACAATATACATAACTAGCGTAGCAATCTGCTACATACGCTACTTTTCAGGTATGGTCAAGTAACGATTTGAAGTAGATGGAAGCCTTTGTTGCGTGTTGTTTTATCATTGACTATTTCAAATGGATTGTCAAATAAATATTATTTATTAAATCTTAATTTGCCTTATCCATTTATGTTCAAAAAATAAGAAACTCAATTTTGTCAACAACTCACGTGACTTGTGCTTCATAAAGGTTGAGTAAAGAAAAATGTATATTTCATAACCGGTAAATATAAATAGCAACACTGACTGTTCTAGTGAGATATTTGAGGAAAAATAAAATCCGTTCAATTGGATTTTTCGCAGAATATTTTAGATGATATAGAGACCAAAACATTTTTACTTTTTTTATTTTCTGTTCGATGGAGCGTGTCGATTTAATTACAGGTCAATTTAATTCATTTTAATGGATTGGCTCATAATTTCTGCACTCAAATCCTATCTCTGTTAATCGATAACTCGATTTTCAAAATGGAAACGTCATTTAGTTTTATGTGCTTTCATAGGTAGGCAGGGTATTTGAACGAAGCCCGTCGCTGAAATACCCCCTGATCCTTCCCATTTGAAACCAAACTCTATAAAAACAGTAAACTGTAGCGATTATCCTAATTTGTGCATATTTTATAGGCAAATTAAAGTGTGGCACGAATGATTCGACAGGGTAGAAATATAAACAGCTCTAAACTCAGTCAATGAACCAACTTTAACAGCACCAACCATAGTTAATTCTGAAACATCCTCTTACAAAATTGTATATATTTATATTCGTATCAACTTTTCTCCGAATTCACCAAATTATAAAGGAATGAGAAAGTAAGACAGAAAGGAGCTTTGAGTAGTAAATGGGCATTTAACGATCAGCTTAATCACCGTGAGTTTGCGAAATACCTTTTGGACAACTATTTAAGCCTATCAACTGACGTATTTGGACATATATGCGTACTGCGATTGAGTCGATGAGTAATGATTTCACATATTTTATGTCCGATGTTGCATTTAATCAATTCAAGTGTTTTTTACCAACTATGCATCTACACTGATTAATGGAACTTATATAGTTTAACTATTGGATCTCTCCTATTGTCTTCAATTTATATTAAATTTTCAAAAAAAATAGCTTTCCCAACTTAGCGTTTCTCCTTATATGAATTACTACCCTATGCTTGAAGTCTCTTGAAGGATTTTCAACCGGATAATTACTCACCTATAATTTTCCAATCATAAAACCTAAGCGGAAATTTAAGTTTGATTGAAAAAAAACTAGCATGAAAAAACGCTGAGGATATTTGATTTTAAAAACTACATTAAGTATTGAAGTTAACAATGAAAGATTAAAGGAATATTTTTAATGATTTCAAATTATTTGAGGTATATTTTCTCTCAAAGTCAAATTATTAAAATTGATCACAATGTCAAAAGCAATTTTCCAATCTATTGTTAAGTGTTAATTTATAGCTAAAAACATTTTTAAACGGCCTCAGGTGAAGTATAAATACATCATTAAACGTTAGGAACATTTTCCCATTCGTCAATAATTAGTTCATTATTAAATACCTGAAACCAGCAAGAAAAGTTCGATGAATATTGCTCGAGTATGTTGGATTAAAAGAAAATAAAGTGATGAAATTCAGGTACCGATTATCAGAGAGTATGATTACTCTAGAATTACTGCAGAAATAAAGCGAACTTCCTTAGTTAGTTGATTAGAAAAAATAAAATCCACCTTAAAATAATTTGATGTAGTTAAATATTTACAAAGTCGATATAAATAAAATTCAGTGTTATAAAAGGGCCTAGAACGGTAGCATTTTACGATTTGCGTTTTCAAGGTTGGTTCTCCTATTAGCTAGATTTTTCTGATCTATCTCTTGGTTACTTTGAAATAACTTGATAGCATATTTGCTAGATTAAAATATATGTTCTTTTCCATTGTCACAAAATTTATTCCTTTAGTATCCGACACGTTAACATTGTTGTTTATTAGTTTTTGAATTTTATTTTTGTGTATTTTAGGTTGTTTCTTTTGTATAGACCCTAACTTGGTCGAGCATCTTCTCTTATTTTATCTGTGACCATAGTTAATCTTATATGTGTTTGTAGTGCCAAGAATTAAAACATAGAATTATTTATCGAAATAGTTAAATCTATCAACCTTCTACTATCCTGCTACTGTTGGGTCTCATGTTTTAACTTTGCTTATTAATTAACTTTTGTTTTGCATAAATTGTTAGTCCTTTTGTTGGCAATTGAATTGTTCAGATTAGAGGTCTATCTCGACGGAGTAACGATGAATAATTAGGCCATTTTCACGAGTTTAGCCCTTTGTACAAATGCCAACTTTATAACTTATTTTTGCTTATCTTATGATCAGTATTTCAGAGCTCTGATCTATACATCAATTTTACAAATGATTTCCAGTTTTGCTTTTCACTTAAGAACTTCTTTAACTTTCATTCCTTTCAATAGTTTATTTCAAAAATGTTTACCAATAGGAAACGACATAAAATATAACTATATATATAATATGCTGTGTCCAATTTTTTTCTCTTTATAGTTGCAATATTCTTTCCATTTCAATAATGATCATCCTCTTATTTTTTGACAGTTACACGGGTATGGATGCAGTGGTAGTACTGTGCCATTTCTGTGAGACTCATGGTCCGGCCGTGATTATGTGTACTCAACCTCTGCGTCAAGTCCCCTTACCGCTTTCGAGAAAGACTTCCACTGGTGCAACTCCACTCGCTTCGTCCAGCTGTGGAAGCTTTCATGCTGCCTCCACATCGGCTTCTCATGAGGGCATCATCTGGCCTGGAGAACATAATGCCTTGAGTAAGTTGCTTTATCAACTTATGATTATTTCCCTTTGTTACTCTACCTGTGTTAATCGAAGCCGTCACAAAGTGGGCAAAATTCAAGGGTACTTGACCTGCGGATGTATTCATGACGTTTCCTTGTGATTGGGTTTAGTTCTGAATCACACGAAGGAGGGAGAAAGATCTGTGGCTTATGCAACGATTCGTTCGTTGATTTTTCTCTTGATTAGCGATCACCTCTAGCGTTGGTGGGATTTCAATTCAAAATATCTTTGTGAAATCGTGAACCAATTAATTGGTATTTTCTTTTATTGAATTTGGAAATTGCTCTCACGATTAAAATTTTGATAATATCATGATTTGGCCATGTCCCTAGCTAAGGATAAATGTGTAATATCCTTACGTTTTGAAGCAACACTAAGCTGCGCACAAACGGGTCTATTTTTTAGCTTTTAGTGTCCACGAGGTTCAATTTTGTCATTTTAATTTGAGCTGCTGTAGACAAAACTCCTTTCTAGGGTTCATCTTTTTTAGAGGCTCCGTTTTTATCCGGTTTTCAACATAGGGTCTTTTGTCTCTGTTACGTTAACTAGTCTTATCAGTATGGTTCAATATACTGAAAAATTGAATTAAAATGGTTAAATTCAAGTATTTTTTCCTTCCAGATAATTGTCAGTGAAAGTTTCCTTAAAATCCCCTTCCAATTGTTCACTAATAATGATTTAATTCATTTTGATCGAATATGTCATGTTTAATTCTTTTCGTTTCTTTGAACTGTATTCAATTGACATGATTGGAGAATAGTGATTGGCCCCCTGTACTCCTGATTATTAACTAGGAGTCATGTCGTTTCCTGCGCACTCCCTCTATCGAGTTTCCACCCCTGTTGTAGTTTGGTTACGCTTAGGGTCAAGTGGGTGAACTTTGGAGATGATATCCAATGATCACACTCAAGTTACGCGAACATTTGAGCTTTAAAAATGTTTTTTTTTCACGAAATTCTTTGGCCTAGCACAAGGTTAAAACATCATTTTGAGAGGGGAATGAAGTGCAATCCATCAAAATCAAGATTTTTCAATATTATTCAGTATAATTTGCATAGATGAAGGCCAGCTGGAGTAAGCTTATCTCAAATCAATCCAGTTTTGCTGTTGTGAAAGCAGGTACGATTCTTCGTGGTTTGTTTTTTTGTTGTTTTCTCGCCCTAGTTTCTTTCGCCTCTTTACATTTCGGTGTTTCTCTGTCATATTTTGTTACGCTTTTTTTGTCGCCTATGCATTAGTCAATAGAATTTTGTGCTTTACTTTATATCACATTTTTTTCTTCCTTTAACCCCCTCCCAGATGATTACTTGCAACATCGATACCACACAAAACGGCTGGGTTAGTTTGTTCTTAACCCACGTAGTTTCACTCTGCTAATAGCCGTTATTGAATTGTTCCATGCTTATAGCATCGTTCAGGTCATAGACTTACTGCAATGCCTAACCTGTAATGTCTAATTCACTATCACCGTATATGTATGCATATTTTCCTTTATCCGTAGTTTGAATGCTATACCTACTGTTCAAAATTGGAGTAGCTTGCTTGAGTTACTTCTATCAAAATGCAGTTTGCTATCTTTGGTCAATATCATATAGTGTATACAACCATTACAGCTGAACTTATCAATTCGACTGCACTGCCCCAATCAACAGGAGCTGTTCAAGATATTGGCGGTACTCGAGGAAAAACCACTTCTTGTCGTGCCTGCTCCATCATCACTCATGACGAAATAGGTTTCGTTAGTCATGACTCCTCTTCTAAAACAGATTACGTTTCAACACAATTCCCCAATGATGTTGAGCTGCTGAAAGCCATTCGAACTGCGTGCATGAGGAGTCTGTCTTCGGAAGTAAATTAATTGCGCTTACTTAATAATATTTAAGTAGGTGAGATATTTTAAAATGTAATTTTTCCTCCCAGATTGTAACATCTGAAGAGGGACCTATGTACTTTGGTGATGATGTTAATAGGCATGTGATGAGTTATAACTTCTCTGTAAAGGATTCAATGGCAAGAGGATCTCAAGTTAGATATAGTTTCTTGCTGATTACATGGAACCAAATCTTCCTGATGAATCTTTGGCCATTCCTTGTGCGATGCTTCAAAACAATGGCCTCGCGAATCAAAGCAGCATGTTTAACGCTATATGAGGAGGAAACGGCTTCGGGATCACCCCCAGGGGGAGGTATAGCTACTATTACAACGACTGCTGCTGCTGTCGCTCGTTCGGCAACTCCACCTGCGGGAGTGAATTCCCTTCGACTTTGTCGCACGCCACCCCCACCTTCATCTGGATCCACACTTGCTCTTCACCAACATTTAACCACAGGAGGGCAATATAACACCGCATCAAGATATGGTAACACTTCAACCGCTATTGGAAACCCGAATAACTCAACTACACCACCCGGCCGTGTAGGTGGCGTGGGTGTGGTTGGCGTTGGTCTCGGGGGCTGTCCTACTCCCGCACCGCTTTCGTCTAGCCAAGCCGTGGCTGCTGGATCTGCCCTCTCATTGGGAATTCAGAATACTGTGAAGAAGATGAAGGGACTGAAAATTTCCGAGAGCGAAGTTAGATCATTGGCAGATCTTTGTAGAGATGACCAGGTTAGTTGACAAGGCCTCACCTTATCATAAGTGTGTATGCGTGGCGGTAGTGAATGTTTATTGGCAGATGTAAGCTTACTAAGGGATTAGGATAGTTGGTTGGTGTTTATTCGATTAACAGTTGATGTTCTTGTCGAATGTAGAATGACATACACAGCAAAGACACAGGCTTCTCCATTTTTCCCTTTCAAGTTGCCCCACATTATCTCTCTCTCTCCACTTTCTATTTTTTTCGTAGCGAAGTTGGGGAAGCTACAGCTTTTTCGAGACAGGTCTATAACTACCCCCACTATTGACAGCACCCACTCTTCTCAATATCTTCGTCCAGATCACCATAATATTTGTTCGCTTTAACTACTTCTTTATGCGCAGATTTACTATAGAGTGCACGCTTGGTTCACTTGGCTCCTCCGTATCACCTCTCGTGTCTGGGTACCGATAGAATTGAAGAATGGAGCACCCTTGGACGAAGACGAAGCTGTTGAAGAGGAGGTTAAAAATAATTCGGGAAGCAGTATCAGCAGCTATCTTGTTGATCCCTCCACTCTCGCTCTGGGTGTTGATCTCGGTTGGACTGATGGGCAATTGGATGTTGAGGCTGCTGTGTAAGTGCTACTTATTCGCATTATCAGTAGGCTGATTGAAATAACAAAACTAGTATGGGTGGGTTTGAAAATCACGTTTTTACTCTCTTGCGGTTCTAATCACTAATTTTATGCTTCTCGTTACACTCTATGAGGAAGTTAGCAGTCTTCATTCACTTTTCTCATTGGTTGATTACCTTTTCCCTAAATTTTGAATAAATTGGTGCTACTAAGCTTTATGTGGTACCAGTGACCGATGATATGATATGTCTTCTTTGCCACGCGGGGTTCTCTTTTCACTTTTCGATTCGTTGTTCGCCTCTGCTCATTATGAGTATTCTACAATGTTCATGTTTGAAAGATGGACTGAGAAAATGTGCCTTTACTTCCATATGGACAACCTAGACAACGAACACTTATACGGCAAAAAAGTCTATAACTCGGCAGTTGACTTCAAACTATTATGAGTGGGTAAGGGAGAGAGCAATCTTTGTAATATCGTTGGACTCAAAAATTTAGCTCTGTGGTTGATCGATAGGTTGTGGGCCTGTGTTAGTTCTGAATGGTGTCATTTTCAGTGATCGTACGTAGATGAATTGTCGACTAGAATTTTCTTTTGATAAAAAAATTCTGCAAAAATTCTGCATTTTTGGTTGTCTTTTGGACTCATTCAAATGGGTGTATTGTTAGTCCCTTCAATTACAGTTCTCCTGAGGAGACACCGCCCTACGTCTCATTTTTCAAATTTGTTCCCTCAGGTTTTTTCTCTAAACGCCTACAAAGTCAGGTGATCATTATAAGCAGTCCACATCGGTGATGAGTTGAAGTAATAGAGTGTGGGATGGATCTGGTGATTATGCGCTGCTGATAGTTAGAGGTTCCGAAATTGGAAACGAATTATTGGCTATTTAATTGCTGGTGGCTGGGTAGGTGAAGGGGGTGGCGCCTTAGAAAGCATCGTTCTCTAATGGGTCTGTTACTGGGGCCCAACTTGGGAGTACGATTCCCCTATAAACCTACATATGCACTCAGTTACTTATCCCTTATTTTCCAACATTGGCTAATTTGTCAGTTTGTCAAGACGGGTGATGGTTGGGTAAATTATGATGGTCTGCGCGCTAAGCCACAAGTTTACGCAACCGCGATGACTCCTTCCAATGACCCCTAGTCGGCTAGAGTACTTTGTCTGACGTACTGAAATGTACTTTTATTTTTTATCAAAGGCATCAATAACTGGAGTACACTCCTTATTGTTTTATGTAGAAATTAGTTTTACAAATATCTTCCGGAAAAATTATAGCCTCTATTTTCCAAATTAAATTTCGTTCTTGTTGGGAATGGGACCTTTTTAAGCACCCTTCAAATTTGCAAAAAAAATTGACTTTAAGGAATCATTTCAGAGCGTAAAGGAAGCACTGGCAAAACCCGGAAACGCGATCCAGAATGAAAGTATCCTGACTGCATGATGTCTTAGTGCACTTACGTAAGGCGCAGGTGATTAGGTGGGAGAAAGTCAGCTTTTATCATGCACCATGGTGTTGAAGGCCTTTAGATAGAAGTCGTTAAGGCAAAAGGTTTGACCTATTACAAAGCATTTTTAAATGATTGTGCTCTGACTAGAACTGTAAGTTCATTGTGCTCTGTCAATAGAATTCTCGATTACTGTTCTCTCATGAACACACACGTTACCAATCCCATTATATATATATATGGTTACTACCTTAATTTCTTGAGTCATGTGTTAAATTGAGTAAAAAAGGTGTATTTCAAAACCAAATTGGGGTGGGGGGGGGGGGGGGGGGGGTTAAGATAGGTAACCGTGTGACTCCATCAAAGCAAAATTAGAGGAGGTGTGATTGATAGTAGTGTCACCTTTTCTCAAGCACATCAAAGTACACTTGTGTATTTATTTATTTATATCAAATGGCAGGCTCTATGATAGTTATCACTAGCCCTTTAGTTCACTTCAGGCTTCACAGAGGGAGAGGAATATCAAAGCGAAAAAATTCGAGAGGGGGAGAGGGAAGAGAATAATGATTCAAGGATGTAAAAGAGACAGACACAAAGGTAGAAAAAAGGTGAGATGGAAGAAGTCGAATATAACATACAGTGGGGTCATGATGGCTTGAACTCAGGGGTCAACTGCCGGTTTATAGACTTTTTTGCCGCATGAGCATACGTTACCCAGGGTGCACCACATGTAGGTAAATCTATCGCACACCCCACACTTATGTAGCTTAGATGCAATTACAGTAAAAGCGTATTCTAGATATGAATTATCAACTGCCCTATAGGCAGCACAAAAGCGCACGAAATGACTTAGGGGTCGACACAAAAGTCCTAAGGTTTGTAGATAGGTAAATCTCGAAAACTTTTAGATAAAACTTTGATGGCTTTAAGGAAACAAAGATTATTGGCAAATATGGCTAGTCTCTAGGGTTTAATTGAAGCGGTTTAAACTTAATACTTCATCACTGATGACATCTGAATTTAATTGTCTCACTTTCAGCCAAATGCGTCTTCTATCTGACCTCTATAAGTGCATTGGAGATGTGAATTTCCAGCGTCTTGTCTACTATCTCGGCATTGGCAATCAGGTTATCGTTCGGTCACAAGTGAAGTCCAAAGTTGGTGCCTTTACTACAGTCTCCCTGGCTCGACTTCTGCCCCGTGGATGCATCCGATGTGTAAGTGCACATACCACCTAAATCAGCATTTAAGTATTTGCTGATAATTCCGCTTAAGTATACTTGGAAACGTGGGCTAATATAACAACAAACGTGAAGCCCTTAGATCAGCCCAGCATTATCCCTCTTCTGCAATGATATTTAAATTCCACAGACTACTGAAAATTCATTTCAATAGTAAGCTTTCTGCTTACCTCGATGGTGGTAGTAAATTGCCTTTAAGGCGGGTGGGTGGGTGGGGATGGGGGGGGGGTACGTTGAACACTTCAAAACGCCACTCATCTGCAGGTATGCTGACGAAAAATCATGACTATGTCTAATCGAATTAGGAGCACACTTTTGACAAAGTCATCTATTTGATAAATATCGGTTTTAAAAAATGCAATCATTTGACCTTAGACAGACTTTAAGCTAAATCATCTACATGAATTTTCACCGTTTTTCCATTTTTTTGGTATGGATATTCAAAATCTTTGCCTATTCAGGTCTATGGCATTGGTAATGAGGAACTTTCTAGAATGAATTAAGGGGGCAATTACAGTACTTTCTTATTCAAATGTCAATAATATCCCTATTGCTTTCTTGTCCTAATGACGTTTCTTACTGTAAAGCAAATCGAAGCAATGTAGTTGAAAATGTTTATTTCCATGTTTAGTACATGTTTTGCTTTTGGCCTACTAATGGAAGATGTGAAGAGTAGGATAAATCTGGGCGTTCGTTCTGTTAACTTAGTGTAGCTTCTTCGACAATTTACATTCTCTATTATTTTAGCCGGCCTAAAAATAGTGTGCCTCGCGTTTTGGAGGAAGTGCACATTTTGGGTTCGGCCAAATTCTGATCGTGTTTACCCTCACAAGCAGAAGGTGCTTTCGTTTGCTCTACTTGGGTTTAAACAGCTTTACAAAGATGTGTAATTAAGTGACTGAGTCAGTACTATCAGAATGTGTGAGTGTGTGTTTTGCAATTTTTTAATTAGCCCTGTTTACTCATAGGCTTGAATATCTTAATCTTCAAGGGGGCGAAAGAGACCGCTTCAAATCAGTTGGAACAGTCATTAATCCGACTCGCTTTAAAGTGTGTCTTGATTTGAAAGTCAGCATCGTAACAGATTGATTGATTTTTTAATTCACAATCAGAATCTTAGTCTAGTCTAACCTTTACATTAACTATAGCTGCAAATTATCCTTGGTTTACTCTACCTTAAGTTATCATTTGTGATATCAAAGTCTGTGTGCCTGGAATTTCTTACGTTTTGTTTCACCTTTCTTTCTCTTTTTGTACAAAAGGGCTTAGAGATTACGCCAAATTTTATTATAGGCATTCGAATGTCCTCCTTACCCTAATTGGCACTTGTTTTGCAACCTGAAACTTTTTTCTTCTCTCTCGCCCTCTCTCTCCCTCTCCTGATACGTACTTTTATGGTACTTTATATCTTCTCATGTGATCGTGGAAACCGCCATTTAGATATATTTTGACCAATCAACGCTTTTGGTCTACTTAATTCAACTGGTATCATAGTTATCAATTTGTTTTCTCCCAAGCTGATCTGATATAAGCAATATTCGATTATATCTAAGCATGTGTCAAATTAAAAATAGTTGGCATAGATAAACAACCTTATTGTTGGAAATTTATATATATATATATATATATATATATATCAAAAGGCAGGCGTCTTGATGGTTATCATTAGCCCTTTAGTTGACTTCAGGTTTCACAGAGGGGAAGGAATATCAAAGTGAAAAAAAGTCGAGAGGGGGGGGGGAACAGAAGAGTGTTTCAAAGATGTAAAAGAAACAGATACAGAGGTAGAAAAAGGTGAGGTGAGTACTGAAGAAGTAGTCGAATATGACATGCAGTGGGGTCATGATAGCTTGAACTCAGAAGTCAACTACCAATTGATAGACATTTCTGCCGTATGAGTATTCGTTGCCCAGGATGCACCACGTGGAGGTAAGTCTATCGCACACCCCTTGTTGGAAATGTCGACGTTAGTTTGGAGACCAAGTCAGCATTTCAGGGTTAATATAGCTTACAAAAGAAGTATAATTCGATTAACTTTCNCTGAAGAGTGTCTCAAAGACGAAGGTTGAAAATTTAGAAAAANCTTCTCATGTGATCGTGGAAACCGCCATTTAGATATATTTTGACCAATCAACGCTTTTGGTCTACTTAATTCAACTGGTATCATAGTTATCAATTTGTTTTCTCCCAAGCTGATCTGATATAAGCAATATTCGATTATATCTAAGCATGTGTCAAATTAAAAATAGTTGGCATAGATAAACAACCTTATTGTTGGAAATTTATATATATATATATATATATATATATATCAAAAGGCAGGCGTCTTGATGGTTATCATTAGCCCTTTAGTTGACTTCAGGTTTCACAGAGGGGAAGGAATATCAAAGTGAAAAAAAGTCGAGAGGGGGGGGGGAACAGAAGAGTGTTTCAAAGATGTAAAAGAAACAGATACAGAGGTAGAAAAAGGTGAGGTGAGTACTGAAGAAGTAGTCGAATATGACATGCAGTGGGGTCATGATAGCTTGAACTCAGAAGTCAACTACCAATTGATAGACATTTCTGCCGTATGAGTATTCGTTGCCCAGGATGCACCACGTGGAGGTAAGTCTATCGCACACCCCTTGTTGGAAATGTCGACGTTAGTTTGGAGACCAAGTCAGCATTTCAGGGTTAATATAGCTTACAAAAGAAGTATAATTCGATTAACTTTCCTATGGTTTTCTCTTATTTCACCCGAAAATACGGAGCCAGCTGCTCTATTTCTACTTGGAAATAGATGTTATTATTTTCTATGCTTTGCTCTAGCGCAAACCGTTGTGGAGGTGCTTGAATTTTTTTAATGTGATTTTTATTGAATTATTTTGTTGTAAGGAATTGCACAAATTTACTCCTAACGTAAAATGTCTTTAAAGCGTTAAGAGGAGATATGCCTAAAAAGAGGGTGCTTATCGCTTTACCTCAATCAATGATTTCATATTAATGGTTTTTAACAAACATATAATCAATATTGTTGATTGAAATTTCAGGATTTCCTGTAAATAACAATGTATTAATTCTCACGGGTTGGTTTCAAAGGTAGTATACAATGTTGTAGCTTGTTTGGATTTAGGGTAAAAATCTCAACCCCAGCCAATGGCATATTCCGTGGTTTGAGTGCACACGCTGCTAGCTAAAATCCTAGAAAGTATTTTCTAATCCCATTTCTTATTCAATTAACTTTGTAATTGTATTTTAAAGCTCTTTTCTTTGCGTGGTATTTACAGTCTTTGACTATTGATTATTCATAATTTTAAGTGACTTAAGCCCACAATAGGATTTGCGTTTTTATTTTATCTTTTCGGTATTGATTAGCAATAAATTACTGCATTTTTTTTCTTGATGACCACACACGAAGTATTGATGAATAAATTCCAGGGTAGTGCAATCGATCGATACCTTTGTCGCGAAGACCCACGACACCATTTGTAGGGCTCAAATTCGATTCCATTTAAGGAAGTCTGAAATATTAATTTCATATTCTTGATTTAAGAGCAATAGATTAGACATCCTTGTAGTATAATTGTGTTGGAAATGAAGGTGGGGCTCAAAGTGATCATCAAAATCGATATATATATATATATATATATATATATATATAT